CCCCCTCCCCTCCCCGCCGCCACCCCCGGCCCCGCCGCCGACGGCCCACCGCCCACCCCCGGCGAGGTCACCGAGCAGCTGGCGCAGCTGGTGAGGGCCCTCTGGACATTGGAGTACACCCCGCAGCACAGCCGAGACTTCAAGGTGAGCGGGGCGGCCGGGCCTGGCAGGGCCCTGGCTGCTGGTGGGGATGGTGGCCTCGTCCCTTCGAGGCGGGAAGGCCGAGCGTGAGGTGGTTGCGCTGACCAGGGCCTTGTCCGTCATGGAGCAGCATGGACTAGCCCTGGAGCGCCTTTCCTCCTCGCTGTGGGGATGGCACGGCACCTCGGGGCCCCTCACCTGGCAGCTGGGCTCCAAGCCGTCGTGCCAGGCATGGTGGGGCCTTGTTGCTGGTCCGAGTGCCCACACGGTGTGAAAAGCCCTCTGGCCTTGCCATCTGAACTCCAGTAGCTCTGGAGAGCTGCTCCGCCATCCTTGGGCAGAAGCAGACCCCCAGTCTGGCCAAGTGACGGCCTCGTGTGTCCACACCGTTGGCCATGGTGGTTGCCCTCGGGCTCTCTGGTTGTCCCCAGGGTGAGTGCCTGTAGTCGGGGCACCGCTGCTCCGTCTGTCCCTGACGGTGTTGAAAGCTGGCTGACCCCTCTGCTGCTTTTTACTGGTGAAAGTGTCCATTTTGCTGTTTCATACCTCTGTTGTGCCGCATTTAGAGAAGTTGCGACTAATTGTTGCAGCGCTGGAGCCGGGAGCTGTGAGCGTACACGGGAGAAGGAGGAGGCTCTTAAGAAGTGCGATTCCCAACCTCCCTGAGCAGTTGGGAGCTGATTTGGGGGATGTGGTGCAGGAATACGGAATCGTAACCTCCTGCTCGTACTGACTGGTGTTTAATACCATGGCATTCTCTGTGCTGGAGCCCTCGTGCCATGGTTTGATCTGACCTGGCCATCTCCTGTCCTGCCCCGCTGCAGGCAGCACACCCGTCCTGGGAGTTGTTGTAGCAGAGGGCATGGCCATTGTGCCTACGGGTTAAAAACGCCCTGCAATGCTTTGGGATTAAATAAGACACAACTGTTTCAAAAGCGCTCCAGGCCTACCTTGCTTCTCGAAACAGTTAAGGGTGTTGTGAAGTTTTATTGTAACGGTGATTCCTTGGTGCATGAAACTCCTTGACTGTGTGAAAGAATGAGAGGGTAGGTGGTGGCTTCCACACCATTAACTTGAAGAGCTTTGCTTTAGGGGAATTTTTCTTGCTGAGTGAGTTGGAGAGGGGATGCACAGATGCATGAAAATACAGCAAGAGCCTAGTTCACATGTTCTCTGGCTCTCTGTCTTCAGTTCCAATGGGGTGCAACAGCCAGTAGAGGCTGTGGGTACCAACATCTGTTGTTCTTTGGTGTCTGTTGGATGGTGGGATGTCCGAGAGCCTCTTCTGAGGTATCAGTAGTCTTTGGTATCCTCAGTCATTTGGACTGACGCACGGCCAGCATCTCTTCCCTTTGCTTCTCCTGTTTCCAGGCAGCTGCATCCACCCTCACCACGGCCGTATGGGGGGTATTCTCTGGGGAGCCCGGCTGTTTGCCTGTGGAGCGAAGGTGCCCGCCCTCTCTCGAGGATGCCTGGCGCTGGGTAGGGACTGTGTACGACTCTGGTGTTTTCAGAAGTGTTTATTGATGGAGGAGGGCTTGGAAGCTGATCTGTTCAGCTGCAGTTTCGGTGCATCCAGCCCTGGCACTAGCACTGGGCACTCGCCTTTATCGTAATCCTTCGCCGCTCTAGAGGCGTTCTGGCAGGAGAGGAAATTGTGGATTTCTCCCGAGTAATAAGAGGAATAAAAGGTTGCAAAAGCAGAGTTATCGTTTGCCAGTGTAACTGATAAAATCAAAGGGGAAGGCAGACCACTTTCTAGGACAAGAAATGCTGTTTATGGAGGCCTGCGGTGGAGGTGTTCAGATAAGAGTGACAGAAGGAGGAAGAGAAACAGGTCTGTAGATTAAATTAAGGCCATGTTCCAAATTCATTTAGGTTTGGATTTTTTTTTACAGTGGAACTGTCTTCGCTTATTTGCAGGCGTCACTAACGGTAAGCGAATGCTTTTCTACTTGTTGATGTAGCAGGAGCCCATCAATCTTCTACTTGCCACATCCCCAGGAGGTTTTTAAAAGCATCTTGCTGTGGGGGATCTTGTCTCTGTAGGTCCTGTTCACTGCTGCGCAATGTCAACAGCCCGTGTCTTCCTCCAAAGGACTTTGTCATTATGTTAAGTACTCAGCTGTTTCTTCACAAGGGTCAATTGTTTTTAATAGTAAATTAACGCCTCTAAAGACAGTTAAGTAGCCCGAACCTGCTATTAAATTCAGTGTTCTTAATTACAATTTTTTTCAGCAGCAGACTTGCACAGTTAATTTAAAGATGTAAATAGGCTTAGATTTTAGATTTGGACTCGATGATCTCTGAGGTCCCTTCCAACCACTACGATTCTGTGAAGATTGGCATTTTCACTCTGGAAACTCCTGCTTCTCCCCAAAACAAGAGAAACATCTCCCTAAGCTTGTTTTGGATAGAGGGTAGAACATTCCCTATCTTCATTACTTTAATTTTTTTTTTTTTAAGGGTGAAAAATGTTTTCAGGAGAGTCATTCTGCACTTTGACTTCAACAGTAATAGCTATTGATAGTAATATTTATTTGGTAGTCAAAAAGCTCTTTAGCCAGCATGCTTAGAAATCCATGTGTGTTGGGGTTTTTTTTGCCTTTTTTTCCATTTTTTGGCACTGAATATAACACTTCCTGATTCCTAAATACTTATCTGCAAGCGCTAAGCGTATTTTAGGATAAAGAATAATACTTATCCTCTTACTCATTCTTATACCTGTAGGCTTTTTTCTTGGGGCAAAGGAAGTTCCTTTCTAAGAGAGGGTTTCTCTGAGTCCTTGTGGACAGAGGCCTTTGAGGGGGTAAGTTTCTAGATGTTTTTTACCCTTAGCTGGTTTTTCTTGGTAGTCTTTTCTCCCTTTTTAGGTTGGTGTTCAAGAAATAACCCATCCCATGGGTTCATGAATCATGTAGTCCTGCCGCTGAAAACAAGCAAATTGCAATTAAAACAAGTGGTTTGTATAAAATGGGTTGTCTTGTAATTGCAGGATGGAGAGAGAGCCTTGCAAGAGAGCTAATACACGGGGAGGGGAGAAGAAGAGTTCACCCAGCCAGCAGCTAGTAAATTGTTTCTGGTCCGATCTACTTGAAACACAAGGATCTCTGCCAGTTTCTATATTTTAAGCCTGACACTTCTTTCTGCCACAAGAAAATTTTTTTTAATAATGTTTAATAATCGCTGTCTAGAACTACCTGAAAGGAGGTTGTAGAGAGGCGCGGGTCAGTCTCTTCTCCCACGACACAGGCAATAGGACAAGAGGAAATGGCCTCAAGTTGCACCAGGGGAAGTTCAGACTGGATATTGGGAAAATTTTTTATACTGAAAGAGTTATTAAGCATTGGAATGGGCTGCCCAGGGAGGTGGTTGAGGCACCATCCCTGGAGGTATTCAAAAGATGGATTGATATAGTGCTTGGAGACATGGTTTAGTGATTTATTTATTTATTTATTTTATCAGAGTTAGCTTGATGGTTGGGCTAGGTGATCTTAAAGCTCCCTTCCAACCTAGACAATTCTATGATTTTCTTCCCAGTCAGCAACGTGGCTCTGTGGCTTGTCCTGGGGACAGGGGACTGCTGTGGGAAGGGCACCAAGGAGGGCTGTGGCAGTGCTTGCTCTCTGGGACTGAAGAGCAGTGGAAGTCACGTGTAAAGCTGTGTGTACCCTCTGCTATTCCTGCTACTGGGGTGTTTGCTGCCCCGGGCTGGTGCTCTGCATTCTGCGGCTGAGCGAGCAGGAGTCAAAGGCAGTGGGGAGGTACGTCTGCACGAGAGCTGGAGGAGGTGTAGAAGGCTGTAGCAGTAGGAAAAGCCCAGAGAAGGAGTGGACTGGGATGTGGAAGCAGAGGGGTTTGGTTCCCTGGGGCTGGGAGCAGAAGGGAGCCCGTGCCTCCCTTCCCGGGAGATGGTACAGGAGCCCTGTGGCAGAGGTGATGGATGTTGGTTTTTTATCTCTGCTTTGGATGACTTTCCCGTTTGTCCTGTGCTCACTTGCAGTTTGTTTTAACAATCCTTTTCTTCTGATTGCTCAGTGGTTTTTATTTTCCTGTCTAAACAGAGCTGCTGCTTTCATAACAGGGGCCAATATTACAGCTTGTGCTTCCTCTTTCCCCTTTGTGATGGTGTGACAATGGTGACAAACATCTATTGTATAAGCAGTAGCTGTGCTTCGGCTTGTTTTTTTTTGCAGGGAGCTGTCCCATTCTGCCTGCAAAGTTCCTGGGAGTGTCGGATAGTGAGGACAGAGCACCCTTTGTCATGGGGAATTGGTCTGTGATGCTTGGAGGTGATGATGGGGGTCTTAAGTGAGAAGAGTTTTTATTTAAACTAATTCGGCTTGAAAAATTATATATGCTTATCCAGATCCTCTACTTTTGCCATCCGTGGAGTTCTGGTCTCCTGTGGCTGATGAGGTTTTTTTCTGTTTTGAGGCTTTCTTCGTAGCTAAGCCAGTTGCACACTGAAGCATGTCCAGTGTTTAACAAGACCCTTTGTGTGCTAGAACTGCATTGATTTCTTTTTTTTTGGTTCTACAAGATGAAGAGTGCCTTATTTTTATGACCTGCAGTGTGTACAGCAAATACAGTAAAATAGTAAGAACTGGATCAAGTTGGATTATCAGAATTAGATCTGAACCCAGAATGAGTTTCTGTTAGTAGAGCAGGGATTATTGTGCCAGGTCAATAGTGCTGCTTCCATTTTTATTTATTTTTAAACCTATGTTTAGTGTAAAGTTTCATAGTAGCCGCGTGTAACTTACAGTTTCAAGAAGCTTGTGATTTAGAAACGTGCTTGGTGTAAACACTGCAACTGGGACAAGCAATCTGTCAACTGTGCTGGTCACTTCTTTGTGAATTAATAAATAACTCCTCTGTGTTATGAAGGGACTCCTGCAAAGTGTTGACATAGTATCTTTACCTCCTGATGTAGATTAAACAACAGCAGTTCTCAGCATGGGGTTGCTCACTGCAGTTTGGGCATTGGAAGCCTTGGAGCT